TCTGTATCTCTTCAATTTGGTACTGAATTCATCTTATAAAGATCAAGTTCCGAATAAAAAGCTAGTCAAAACCAACTTCAATAAAAAGGAAACGTGTTTAGAGAACTATTTTCTAAATTGTAGTTCAAAGTATTGAATTAACTATCTATGAAGCAAAATTTTTTTGCATTACAAAAAAATAACCATTCAGTTTTTTGTTTTTTAGTCCTGATTAACTCTTTCAAAGAGTATTTTTCCTATAAGGTGAATTCCATTTGCTATCTCTATAGCTAAGAGCTCAAATTTATCGCGCACGGGATCTCACATCTGGTCATAATTGTATTCGCACTTGAAGAAACGTCCTATCTCGTTTAGTTACGAGCGAACTTCTCCGGAAATCAGCTATAATATGAGTTTGACAATAAATCAACAATGTTGAATGAATTTTTAATCAGCTTGTTTGAGCAAAATTTGGAAAAATCAAGAAATGCTGGCTGATTAGTTGGTCACAATAACATGTACACTTTCTTTTTACCTTTACTTCCTTCTGGCCTTCGTATAGGGTTCTCTTATAAATTATTGTAAACTCTCAGCTCGTTTTTGCGCGATGATGATGAAGTACGTTGTAAAAGTTGGTTATTACCGTAAAGATGTGCGCATTGTTTGGCTATTACTTAAATAAAAGCAGCTCATATATATTAGTGGATCATAATGCTTTAAAGAAATTTTGACGCTGTCCAGAAGGGGAAGAACCCTCACGCGAATCCTAAGCAGTTTGCTTTCAAAAAGGTTGGAGAGCAGAATGAGTGTTGCGCGACATAAATGTTCTCTCGCTTGTCGTTTTTTCTAATGGTTTTCGCTACGTAAAGGGGCAAGAACATGTTCAACAAGTTTGGCTAAAGGGATTTAGAAAGAACTTTATGGCGAAAAAAAAGATGATCCCTACACCCACTCAATTGTTTTGCTGCTCGAGACTCCCATGGCCAAAAGAGATGTTCGGATAAGCGAACACCTGATATGAGATGCTATTACTGTATTGCAAATGTTACAGACGAGTCAAGCCACTGTCTATGTCAAATACAGAGGCTGACGACTGAAGTGACGGCTAGAACAACAAGTGAGGTTATAATTGTAGCCAGCTCTTCAACACGCTTTGAGTTGTTCAAATTTCTTTGCTTTCATTAGACTACACAAATATGCCCTTTTGAAACCTACTGATCTGTTGTAAAATGCATATTGGGCTTACGGGCAGCTTTGTTTACAACTGGGCGAGAGGTGTTCTCGATATGCGGTTGTAATAATGTTTAGAGATTTGAAAAAATATATGAAGGTCTTTCAAATATATAAAGTTTGCTAATATTTCGAATCAAGTAGGGATTTTAAAAAAAAAGAGCAAAAAAAGAGGTTCGTTACTTGTCCTCTTTGTCTATTGGTGCAAAATTCTGTTTGAATGCTCTGTCCTTTGCGCATGAATAACTCTTTTCGTAAAATTTCGTTTGTAAGTCGTAAGATTAGTCATCAAATTTGATACCCATTCCAAGCGTGATCAGCGCTTTTCCTAGGAAGAGGAGAATTCCAGCCACTTGATTTACAACTGCGGCTCTCACGCAGTTCCTGACTAACAACATGAAACTATCCTTGGCTGAGGTGAAGAAGTTCTTCCCATAAACTGCCATCTAAACAAGTGACTTAATTGAATATTAGATTGGACAGGATTTTCTGGGTTTCTGATACAGGGTAGCAGTAGTTTTGGGGAGATATGTATTGAAAAGTTCTTTACCATAATGAAAGCATTTTTGGTAAGAAATTTAAAGAAGACTTCCATGCACCAGAAGCAGCACTTCAGGGCCCTGAAAGACGATTTGATACGAAAAACCCAAGATTTTTCCTCTTCAAATGTTCAACTCACGATAGAATAGATTTCATTACGGCGCTTTTTGTTGTCGCCATTTTCTTGTCCAAATAGTCAAGAATTACACGTACTACTTTGATAATTGCGATTATTAGTGAGCCAAAGGCTAGTGATCCAAGGTTGTATCTGAACAAAGGATGCGTTAAAAAAAAAGTACAGCGACTAAATTGGAAGCTTACCTAAGCGCCCGACCCAGAGCTCTCAGCACCGGGAATGATGGCACATCTTTTGGTTTGTTTTTCGCCCAG